GTTGATAACCACAACTGTTTACCTACTTTTCCAAGTAAAGTCAAAATTAATTTGCAGTAATACTTTTTTATTACTATTATAAAAACCGGGCAAGAAATAGATATCTGGAAAAAAGAGTAATAATATTTTAGGAAAAATTTCATCTAGTATACCAACTTTTTCGTGCTAGTATATTGCTTCAGATGTTCAGAATCAGCTCATTACTGTGTACGATTGAACGTCTAACACTGTTGCGGCACTGTTCAGTCGAGGATTCCTTAACTGAACAAAAATTTCTAGTCAACTAAAATACCGCTACCCCATAAGATATTTCAGCTAAAGTCAAATGTACATTATCGTTACCAAAGAATAGCACAGAAAGTGTGCTTGATATAGCTGAGATCTAACTGTAAAGCAACAGCTATCAACAAATCCATCAGCTCATCGAAAACACTGATTTTCTATTTCGACACTCTGCTGTTACCGCTTTGATATACTTACTGTGTAATTTTAAAATTTGTTATATTTTGAAAAGCGAGAAAAACATTTTAATTCAAGATTGATTAAACATTAAATGAACTGTGACGAGTTTGTCGATAAATAGTTTTATGATTTCCATAAAAATGTACATTTCATTTTTTTCGTGTTTTTTGTTGTACCAATAATGATAATTTATCGATCATAAAATGAAACCAATTTTGACAAGTCTTTAGCACATTTTCAGATTGAAAATGACAGAAGGACTTGAGTAAAACCGTAAGTGTTAAAATGGTTTGTTTCTCTTCAGTTGAAAAAACAAATTATTCATTGACGATAAGGTCGAAATTTTATTGCTTTTTTTCTTCTGTATTACACGATATTAACATGTAATTTAAATTTATTCAACAGATACTGATGTATCAAAAACACTGTCACAGGGTGTCATTTTTTGTTTGGTTTTTTGAAGATTAAAAGTTTTTTATATCATACTTTGTCTGTAAAGTTTTATTAAAAACACAAAAAAAAAAAAAGGAAGAAAAAGATTCAGAAAGTACTTCCAGCAAAAAACGTTGAGAAGTTATTCAGTCATTTTTAGCCAATAGAAGATATTAGTGGTGAAATTGATAACAATTTTTAGACATTTGTTGATGTTTTCCAGATTCTTAATTAAGCTATATCATATAGAATGTATTCTTACTGTGAACTTGGTACAACAGTTTTTATATACTCTGTGTAACTTTAGTGAATCTTCTAAGAAGCAACGAAGAAAGATTAATCTATTTTGTATATTTCAACCCTATGGAAGAACGTCTGTTGCACTGTTTCATCAATGATTCTCAAAATGCAATAAATAGACTGTAAATTAGAAAGAACAATTTTGTTCAAACTTCATTCAGAATACAGAGCATTTCAACAAAGTGGAATTATTATTGCAATAAAGACGTTGTCCTACTTCTTTTTGCCAGTTTAATAAACCTGCTTTTATTAAGAAACTTCCCTTTATTAGACTGTTCTAAAATAGAGATGTAATTTTTTTGTTTAATCAGGATAGAAAGACTTCGTAGAATGAACTGCAACAAAATTTTTCACCAAATACAAACGTTTTTTTTTTTTTTTTATCTTGACAGACATTCCACTAATCATGAAATTTCAGTAATTTCCGTAATTGCAAAGAGATTTTCCTTCATTTGCACTTTTATGCATTTTCTATTTGAAAATTTCTACTTACTCTCCACCAATTTTCAGAATGCCTTGTTGTCAAAGTCGCAATCAGAAAATCCTATATGCTGAGTGCCAAGACAGTACTATTTGTTGTCATTTAATCATTCAAAAAGTACTTGTTTTTATCGACAAAAAAAAATTGATAATTTCTTTGAGCGCTTTTGCACATCTATAGTTTAATATACTTTCTGTGCCACTGCAAATTCCCTTCAGTATTTGTAGTTTGCAGTAAACCTTGTAGATCAACTGTTATATTTCTAAACTTCTGAAAAGATCAGCAAATAGACACAGTTTGACCACTAGTCGACTGTCGACAAAAATTCAAATATAAATTTTTTGTTGCTTGTTATTGTTGGACGAAAGTCCTGTATACTGTATAGCAATGAAGATATCATTTTTAAATGTCACTTTTGCCAAACTTAGCTTTTTTTATGGTGTAAAAAAAAGTCATGTCAGGCCACTGTAAATCACTTTTTTTCTTCAAAATAATTGTTCAAATCGATTTTGAAGTCGAGAGAAAAGAAGAAGTGCACTACTGGGCAAATGAGAAAAAACAAAAAAATTTTTGATGAACAACTACTGGTGATGGTGAGCGCTTAGAAGCTAATGATTTCTTTGGTGGAACAGATATGAGAATGTTGCGACAAATTGTTATGTTTGTGGTCAGAAGATAAAGAAAGCGTTGAGCAATGTAAAAAATTTGGATGATTTTAACTGCCTTATTCAGATTGATGATGACAATGACTTACAAATGGTACTGGTTCACTGATGTGAAAGTAATTTTCTTTTTCTTCTATAGAGAGAATATAGAATCGGGTCAATAAATGCGCAGTGGTTTGTAATTGGTCAGGGGACAGCGTTGGTAACACATTGCTAAGCAGGTGAAGGAATAACAAGGAAACCGGGGGAAGAATAAAGGAGGGGATGCTGAGTTGGCAAAATAACAGTGTAGCTTCGGGTTTTGCCCTGTCGTAGTTTTCGTCGTCGTTTTCGGTGTTGTTGCCATTGCTGATGCTGTCGCTGCTGTTGACGCCCGTTTTTCCTCTGATAGCCCATGGTCAATTATCCAGGGAAGTTTCTGGTTAGGGGGTAGCAGATTCATTGATTGCAACCAACTGCATTCACTCCATCCACTTGGGTTCCTTAGTGGTGTTGTGGGAGTGCTCCCTTGGTTGTGTTTGTTAGTGGAGATACTCCAAAGATGTGCCTAATATGTTACTGGGCAAAACCCTATTGATTTAGTTACGTTGATTTTTGCTCAACAAATAAACATTAAACAATTTTTTTCGTTGACAGTCATTTTTTTCCTCTTCGCTTCGTTGGTTTTCGTCGTTCCTTCGCACCCCCATCTTTCTCTGTCTTTCTTAACCTCCTTCTGTCTATATCTTTGTGTTCAATTTTTCGTCCACTTTCTTTTTCCATCTTCAAATTGTACTAAAATTTGAGTTCTTCATCTTATTATTATGAAAAAAATTTTTTTTATTAAAATTATTATGATTTACAATTTTTGAGGATGGGTGAGAGGTGATGAATGGGAGCAAATTTATTGCAATTTTAAGTGCACCCTTTCATCCGCATATTTTTTTTTTTTCTTCTTGGACTGATCATTTTTTTCCTCGATTAATTTTTTTCTCGCAGAAATTTAATATACTTCAGTTTTTTTTGTTTATTAAACAAAATTCGGAAGATGAAGAATATGGGACAACAGCTTTAAACTAAACCTGTTCGAATGAAGGACTAGGAGGCTAAGTAAGTAACCGCTGTGTAAAGTAGTTGGTGTTAGCTTTTCACTGTTCTGTTGAACGGCAATGGCATTGATGCTTTAGATGATAGATGTCGGATAATTAAAAGGTATATGCTGTGTACAGTTGTGAACAATATC